GTAGGTAAAAACCTATTTGCGCTTTTTACCTGCCCTTTGAGGTTTGGAAAGGGGCTCCCTCTGGTACACCAGCTTCTCCCATCTGCAGCAGGGCGGCCAAAGGAACCCGGCCCAGCTGACTCCGTCGTTACATCCTTAGCAAAACCTCTAGAAGGACGAGAGGAAGCACTCTTTGTGAAGGATGCTTTTGCAATAGGTAAAGGTTCACAGTACGAGCCAGCTCCTGAGCAGCCTCTTTTTCCAGGCCCCGGCGTGGAGAACCTCTCTGCAGAGGCCTCAAACCTCCGACGTCCATTTTCTCCGCTTCCCCGAGCCTGCCCACCTCGGCCATAGATGCTGGTGGACCTCGACGTGCCCTCAAAAAAATGTCCAAACCTATTCCTGAGTCGTGGAAGAAAGGCTCCGGCACCTTTCCCAGCTTGTATCTTGGCTTCAGTGGATAAGCATAATCCAGCAAGTCTTCGTATTCTTTATTGGGGTTCCAGTGGGGCGAGCGACGGTCCGGAGATGGGGGTAACGAATCCGGTATGGCACACGCCCAGTAATCGGCTTGGTAGGACGACATCCCTCTGATGCGCTCCACGGTGGGGCGGTCATCAAGCAGAGGACTGAAGGGCTTGGGCGCCCGCGGCACCCTGCCTTCTGCCGCACCCCACCGACAGCACAGGTCCCGGGCGGCGGTGGCCGCAGGAGAAGGCACCTCCAGGCTGGCCAGCAAGCTTCGGGATGGCTCTTCGGAGAGGCCATTTTCTTCTGAAGACGGAGCGGAGAAGCTCGATGCGGAGCAGCTCCGCAGGGCGCTCTCGGGGCTGGTGGGGCTTTGGGGCTGCAGGAGTTCCCGGGTGGAAAAAAATGGGGATTGAGCTCCCAGCCTTCGGCTCCGCCGGCCGGCACCATTGTGGCAGCTGCCAGCAAGGATGGTCTCCTCTGCAGAGCTGCGCCGGCTGGGAGGGCTGGACGCCGGCTCCCAACAGCCGGATGCCTTCACCTGCTCAAGGATGGGGGGAAAAAGGAAAGGGAGAGAGAGAGACGCCTAAAACGAAGCACAGCACCCAGACAAAAGGCTCCTTTGTGCCGGGACACGGAGATAAAAGCCCAGCCCTGGACCCGCCGTG